ATATATAATATATCTACAGTTCAGTTATATTTTTCGAAAATCCGTTCAAAAAATATTTCCAAGTTCTATAACAGGGATTCTCAAAATTTCATAAACATTGTACTCTTTTTTACCAATAAATTGTTTTAGGTACMCCTTCTTAGTTACTAAACTAACATATATTATATAAAAATCTAAAAACTTACAAACATTTTAAATCTTAATCATACCCCTTTACAAATTTCGAGTACCACCAAGGAGTACGCGTACCACAATTTGAGATTCCCTGTTCTAAAAGATGAAAAAAAATCAGTTACTACTTTACATTACCTAATATACGTATAATATTAATTAAGTTGAAAATAGATATTATAATTTTTATTTAAACATTATATTATCTATATTTGGCTAAATAYATATGATATTGGTACATTGGATTATTTGTATCTGAAAAATATTATTCTACAAAATTATATATACTCATAAGTCATAAATCAATGTGTAGCCATGTTGGTTTAACATGGTTAATTAACCTAGTTGAAATAATAAAATCTAGAATACTCATTTTAAAACTGGAAGTTGATTTTCTTTTCTAAAGCTGTAAAAACTAACAATATTACGCTATTGACTTATTCAATATTTTTATTATTAGGTTAGTTCAGTTAAGCAAGGATAAGTTAGTTTAATAATATATTTTGAATTTTTTGTCCCCAATACCAAGTTTATTACAATTTTTTAATAACGAATAGTATATATTTTAAGAAAGTCAACAAATATTATATTTATACGTAGTCTATATAAATATTTCTCGAACATAATCGAATTAATAATATACGAATGCTTTATTTAAATTATTTTATATTAATGTATCAATATTTATAAATTTAAATTACAGTTAAAATTGTATTAAAATATTTATATTTTGTTTCAAAATTCTATACCTAATAAAAAAAATAAAACCATTTGAATATTTGACGTCCATATCATCCCCCCTCTATATATAAGTATACTTATGATTACGTCGTTCATAGAACTAAAGTAGGTACTTAATTGTTAAGGTCGTTAAGGTGTAAATAAATATATAAACCTATAGTTATATAAAATAAAAACTTCAAGAATGGAGAATTAAGTTCTTATGCCTAAATCTTGGTATGAAGTATTTAGTAGTGAATAATATTATTGTTGTAATTTTGTATTATTATTTACTCATATTAKTTGTCAATAAAAGTATATAAATAAAACATTYCATTATAATATTAATTTTTCTTGAACACAGAGAGCTTTCAGCTTTTCAATTAAAACTRTACAGTCAGATCACTTTGCAATCTAATTTACAATATTGTTCATTGACTAATGATTATAATAAATATAATCTTTTATTCTGACTATGTTTTTTTGTTTTGTTTATTATCGATGAATAATATGATGATTTTAATTTATAAATAATTATAGGCGTGTCCAGACCTCTATCACATGTGGACAAACAAAAAGATATTATAGTTATACATTTTTTTATCAACATTTTTTTTATAYCTATATCCATGATTATTTTTTCGATGTAATTTTGAAACTAATGATGCACAAATTTTTTTTTGAAGCATTAGCCTGTATTGTAATATTGACGATAAAATTACAACAACTTTTAAACAGTAAGTTTCCAAAAACATTTTAGCACTTAGGAAATAATTTTTTTTTTTAAGGCATTTGATCCAAAATTTCGCAGGTCATGATATGACATGCGACACCCGTCAACACGCCTATATACTCGTATGTTTATATACGTTTAATAAACGTCTATCATTCGCAGTGGTTGGATTGGATTAATTGGATTTTAGCTTTAGTAGCAAGTTTTCATTATATATTTTAATATGGACTTAAAAAGGTTTTAAGTCCTTTAAGATTTAGTCTACAGAAGAGTTTGTTAATATGAACCATAATAAGGACATTTGGGAAGGGAGGCTTCTTCAACAGGCTTAGTCGTATACTATTTAAATTGTAGGTATAATACATAATACAATATTATGTCTAATGTCTATATTTACATCTGATAACTATATGAATTGTAATCGGTGTGCAAGACGTTTTAATTTGAATAATAATATAAAATAGTAACCATGTACAATCTAATATCTGGTTTTTCACATTTATAATACAAAAAATGAAATAAATATAATTGTTATCTAATTAATGTGATTGTAAGGCATTATGTAATCGAACTTTTTATTTTATTTTCAAATTTTATTAGTTTGAAATTTTGCTTGAAGTCTTTTTTAATGAAAGTAATTTCATTAAAAATAAATTCATTTTTTAATTTTAAACTCATTATATTTGTTTGGGGATTTTTCCAAATTTATGAAGTTCAATATTAGGTATATTTAGCTACTTTAAATTTGTAAAACAACCATGTATTAAACGGTTCTTATTACTGTGAAGGGCCACGGTGGCGTAACAATTATGTGACAAGCATATGACGGACATAATAAGCCTGATGATCCATAGTCTAACAAAGCCCTACTGAAAAATCTAAATTGGTTTGTGCTATAAATGTTTTTTAAATTTTTTATTTAAATTATATTAATCTTAAAATACGTTCTGAAATTCGTATTTATATATAACTAAATATATTAATATGTTATATCAATCTATAATTTGTTTTAATAGATTTTTGATTRCCCATTAATTAACAATTACCAAAATTACTACAACTAAACTTATATATATTAAACGATTTAAAATTTTTAAAATTTGTAATAATTGTTTTAGTTAATAGTTATACAGATTATACAGGGTTATAGGAATATAAATAATATAAATACTAGAAATCTATAATATTATATAACCATAGAAGTTTAAATAGCCTAATATTTAATATACATAAACGATCAACATCATATAGTCCATATAGAAATTATGGACGATCGACCGGGTGATCTATACTTAACGTAAGACACTAATTATTTCAATATTTTAGATTTTCAGCATAGCGAAGAATGTATTTATTTTAGTATTTTACAATATAATGAGTGGTATTTTTATGTGTTGGACCAGTGTTGCCTGGTATACCAAAGGCCCATGGATCATCTGCAGTTTTTCAAGGGGCCCTATAATGAACAGTCTTGAGCCCTGTAAATTGYGTCTATATAAAAAATACATAAGATTGAATACTTCTTTAAATTCTTTACTGTGTGCGACAAAATTGAAAATTCTCAGTAGTTTTCAAATACATATATAAAGAAAAAAAATTATTAAAAAGTTGAATTTTCATGTAAAACCATTTTTTAACAATTTGGATTTCGTATTTTCGGTTTAACTAAAAAAAGTTGAAGATATTAAAGTGYGATTTTCACCAAAATATGGTTATAATAGCATATTATTCTATACTTTGTATAAGTATTCAATAGGGGTGTCGAACCTTTTTTGAATCCAGTGCCAAATTTTTGCAATCAAGGGTTTGATAATTTTTCACATACCCATTTTGTAAATACTAAATATAAAATAATAAATATAGTGATAACATAGTAGCATAATTAATTTCACATATAGGAATATTATAACTTTTAAAATGTTTATAATTTATTTTTTGAATTTTTCACAAGTCAAAATTAAAGAATGGCATAATTTTTCTCAATTTTATTTTTTCATGTGCCATTGCAATTTGACAAATGTGACACTTATATATTTTGAAATGAGGAATTAAAAATACGTATATGTGGTTATAAAAAAAATAATTAAAAAATAGTAAAAATCATGTTTAAAAAAAAATCTTGTTTTACAACGGTTTAAAATCATGCGTAAATCGTAATTTTAATTTTTAATATTTCTATTCGTTATTGTTTGATTATTATAGATGTATTAATGATATCTTACAGTTATACATTTGAAATTCAATAATCTAGTGCTTAGAGAGTTTGATTTGTCTTCTAGGGGAAGGAATATCCTTTTGGTCCAAAAATTCCATTCAAAACTTTATCTACAGAGACTGTATAGCTATAGTTTATAAACGCATTGAAGATTGGATTTCTATACAGTTATTTAAAAGAATATATTATTTATAGGTAGCTTGTGATGATAGGTATGATATTATATTCACTATAGTATATTCAGCTTCCCACCTCTCATCCGTTCATCAATTATGCTAATTGCCAACGGTGTAATTATTAGTTGTTAAAAAATAAATTCTAACCCTTTGAATGCCTATTGCATATACGCACATAATAGGTGTCACATATATAATGAACGTAAACACACAAAGCAAGCGTTTACTAAACGTTATTTTATTGTCAATCCTACTGGCTATTTGATACATAATATGTAAGCAGGTAAAAATTTTATGCGACTTATTTATTATACAAATCTTGAGGAAATATCTGGAAARCGGATGACAATGCAAGCGAGGAATATTTTTTTTTTTAAATCATGGTTTAAATGCGCAGTGTGTGTAAGTAAAAAAAGCAACAAAAGAAAAATGATGATTATTGGATCACTTTTTTTACATTACACACACACGTTTATTTTTTTTTATTATTATTCCTCCCGACGTAGTTCGGGTTGCTAAAATATTGATTGTCGGATTCGGATAGTTGCTGCGCTCCGTTGCTGAGGACCAGGCGGCAGCGGCGGCAAGAGTGAGTGTAGGACGCTTTTTTTTAAGCAACCTTCTCCTATATACACACACACACACACACGCACAATATTACGTCGCAAGCGCATACAGGGTTCGTCTGGGATGTACATTTGGCAACGCCGCCGGGTTGTTCGGCGGCGTCGCTCCCTCTAATGCGCGCCGTACGACCGTCTCGTCGTCGTCGTCGTCGTCTCGCGCGCCGGTGGTATTTCATTTGGWTTTTTTACATTTCATTTTTCTGTCCCGTCTTTGCCGCCCGCCACCGCCTCCGCGCGCACCGCTCATTCCGGTTCTCTATGGCGGAGGAGAGCGCGCGCGCGCGCGCGCTTGCCGGGTTTTTTCCGTCGCCCCTTACCACCACGCCCCACCCCCTCTTCACCGCCGACGTTTATTACGTACGCCGTCGACCAGTCGCACACGTACCGTCGTCTCCCCCGAATGTACTGTAGCCACCGCCACCGCAGCCGCCGCCGCCGCCGTCGTCGCAGCCGGTGTTTACTGTACGGTGCCGTTCACGAGCGTGTCTTGTATTATCGGCTACTGCGGTCGCAGAGCTTTTCGAGTCTCTGACGACGCGCCGGCAGATAATCGCGATTATTATTAATCTAATTTTCAAATTCAATTTTTCATCTCTCCTACACAGTTCGCGCGTCCCGTCATCTTATCAGTGGTTGTAAAAAAAAATTTTTTTAAATAACAACAAGGTTGATACGTGGAAACAAATATATTTTTTATTTTGTGCACATCCTCGGTTCACTGTAGAGTACTCGTCTCGAGTCATGAGGACCACCGACGTCCATGGGATTACCGGACACATTTCTACACGGTAATATCGATAATATGCTCACATAATAATAAATTATTATAACAATAACAATACTATGTCCATTCACCATTGTACCTTTGACGTCGACGATTACTACGAGGTGGCGCGCGTTAAAATTCAAAATTTGTGTCGTTCGCATAACAAATTACAATATGATTTTTTATTTAATTTTTTTAATTTCCRTATGTAGTGTGTGCACTGTACGTATTATCAGCGTGTGGGCTACACTGCACGCGCGCCGTTTTCCCTCGCAACACACGGCTATAATTGCAGGTCAGCAGCAGCTGCTATCAATATTCAACACTGAATACTCATAAGTAGTGACAACAGTCGGTTGAAGAGCACCGCCATTTATCATTGGTTTTTTGTTTAATTTAATGTGTCGATGATTGATAATCTCAATAATTATTGTTTATTGTAATTTTTAATTTCGGTTTAGTTTTCAAAACGGTTTTTATTTTTTTTTTTGTAAGGCGCGTGTGATATTTGCCAGCAGGCGTCAGTGCAATGGACCCGGACGAAGGTGTCAACAAGATGGAGTGTGACGATGAGTCGTTTTTCGTCCAAAAAATGAGAAGACTCAGCTTCGACGCTGACAGAGCGATACCGCCCTTGGTTATCGCCAGCGCACCATCGCCACCCGACAGTCGCCGATCTTTTTCGCCTGAGATCGGTGTTGACTCTTCGACACCGTTCCTCAAACCACGGGCTTTGCATAAAGTGCGTCTCAGGGGCCAGTCACCATCAAGCGACACCAGCTGTGAATCAAATCGTTCTAACAAGTTTCGGTTGTCTGTCAATCCCTTCACACCAACTGGCATTGAAATATTAAAAAACAAACATCGTAAAAGACTATGTCCAGCTAAACAGAACATAAGTTTCTCCAGTTCTGAAGATCATTCAAGTCATGACAGTAACAGTAGTTTTTCCACTCCACCTGACAATAAAACGTCTCCTTCTGTTGATCCTTCAATCAGAGATCTTATGAATGAAGGTGAAGTGACCAACGTCAGTATTTACGATTTGCAAACTTCTCGATTCAATGAAGAGTTCAGGATGGATGATTTTATTGCAACTGGTGCTTTTGGTGAGGTATACAAGTGTACAAATTTATTAGATGGAATCACATATGCTATTAAAAAGACCAAAAAAACAATTTATAAAAGCCAAGAATATTTTATTCGTAAAGAAGTTTATGCACACTCTGTAATTGGAAGACATCCAAATATAGTCTCGTATTTCACAGCTTGGCATGAGAGAGGGCATATTTACATTCAAACAGAGTTTTGTAATGATGGAACCCTGGAGCGTATGATTCATGAATCTGATCATGTGTTTTGTGATAGTGCTTTAAGGCGATTGTTATGTCATGTGTGTAAAGGTTTAGCTCATATTCATTCTAAAAAGCTTGCACATTTAGACATCAAAGCTGCCAACATATTAATATGCCGTACTGATGGAGCACTGTGGTTTGCTGAAGATCTAGATGATGATGAAACAATTGATAAAGATCTTGTTTATAAAATTGGGGACTTTGGACATACAATATGTGTTGAAGATGTTCGAACTATTGAAGATGGAGATTGTCGTTATTTACCCAAAGAACTATTACGTGATGATTATTCTCAATTACAGAAAGCTGATGTATTTTCAACTGCGCTTACTGTTTATGAGGCAGCAACTAAAAAAGATTTACCTAAAAATGGACCAGAATGGCACCGTTTAAGGGATGGCGAATTTTCATTGCCTCAAACTCCAGTTTTTAGTACTGGTCTTGAAAAAATGCTTAAAAAAATGGTTGACTTGGATCCTAATAATAGGCCAAAAGCATCCACAGTGGTTAATCTTTTACTTGATAGAGGAATGGCTGCTGTCAAACAACAACAAGATGAAATGGAAGTATGGAAATTAAGTTCTAAGTTCCTTGCACCTTGTTACTCAGTTGAAACACAAACACCATCAAGAACAACATTGGGACAGAGAAGATATGAACATTCAAAACTATATCGAACAAGAAAAGAACGAATTAAGCGATTGGTTGGTAGAAAAATGAGTAGATCGTGTAGTACTCCAAATGTTTAACTATAAGCCATAATGTAATTAATATTAATTTATTTAATTTATGTATTTGTTTTTTTATTTTCTATCTGAAGAAATTATTTCTGAAGCATTGGCAAGTATTGTAAGAATTATTTAAGTATTAATTTGCTCCCTTTACATTTTTTTTATAATTTTTATAGCATTATTGTATTTTATAACTCTGTGATAAGACGTGAAAATTATTTTCAAATGTATTAAGTACCTAATTAGTTATTATTAAAAAAATAGAAGTCCAAAAACTACAAAGGATTTTAATGCCTAAAAAATATTATTAATGTATTGTCAATTTATGATTTAATTACTACTTATTTATCAATTTTATATATTTTATTTTGCAAGTTTAATTAATATTAAGATGGACAATTTAATTTAAATAATTCTATTACAAAAAAATAGTAATAAGTACTWATTTTTTTAATTATTATTTGTTAATATATTTTCTTGTTTTAAATGTGATTTTGTTTTTTTTTTTGTTTTAGATGTGTATATTGGTAATATTTGTATATAAATTTAATTATTTAAGTATATTCATAAAATATAACATTACTTTTACCTACACCTAGTTGGTTTTGTTTTAAAATATTAAAACTATTCTCCTATCAAACTAAAAGACATTAATATGACAAGTATGTAAATTAAGAATGACACCTGGGGCAAATAGTCTTTTTCTATTAAACTTCTATAATTTACCTAAACAGCTTGATATGAATTGATGAAATCTATCATCTACTTTACTTATAAATATAGGTACATATTACCATATTGACGATCAAGTACATTTTTATACCAATGATTGACATAATTAAGTAATCATRTATTTTATAGAATTCAAATAAAATGTGCATGCTTTTAAATCTTATGGTTACTTGTTTTTATATTACATCAATCGATGAAAATATAAATTATACTAAACATTATACATCTAACTAGTAAATATCTAACAAAAGCCATTTGGTTAAATTTAAAATAAGATTGAAGTTCAGTTTGTCTTAAAGTTTATTTTTAATTGATCAGATATATGTGACTACACCAGTAAACCATTAAGAAATATGAAGCATTGACAAATAGGAAGTAATTATTAGAGTAAAAATTACTGTCAAGCTATTAGCTATTTTTTAAAAAGCTGACCAGTTATATTTTCAAAGTAGAAACGTATAATGGAGGTAACATATTAGGACAGTAGTTACAATATTCATTTCATTTTTAAACAATATCAGAAGGCGTTGTTGAACCATTACTACACCAAATAGTGTTTACTGCCTCCCTACATAGGTAGTACCTTATATAATGACGTGAAGAACAAAAATACAATTTAAAGTATTTTTCTGATAAATAATAAATATCTATGATCTATGTATGTCATCTCTCAAATTCATATGTTATGAATTTATGATGTATTATGTATAANTTTTTTTTTTTTGGGGGGGGGGTCAATACAACAATACAACAATAAATTGTTAGTACAATTTTTATACTTAATTGATATATACAACCTAATGCTTGCTAAACCTTTGCTGAGCCCTAATGATTTTATGTGCCGGTGCACAAAAATTTCGGGGGGGGGGGGTCCAGACCCCATGGACCCCCCCCCTGGATACGTGCCTGTATATTAAAATGCATATATATTATATATGCATTTTGATTCTTACACTGCAGTTCTCCTACACATAAATTGTATACGCCAATGATGTCCTTTAATTTTTCTATATCAAACCAAATGCTTTAATATTAGGTAATAGCGTTATGTTTTTAATATTAATGTTGAGGAGATTCGATATCATGATTTTCACTAACACGTGCTCGACATAGGGTTTAAGGCCTGTTCTTTGCAAACGTACCGGTTGGTCTAATAAAGCGATAAGATTTGTTGTCAAGATTACCTCCTTAAGATCGACTTTTCCACATTTTTATATTAGGTATCCCCTTATTCCTAAAAAAGTTGTACAAAAAAAAAAAAAGAAGTTATATCATATTAAAACTTTTGGAGAACATAAAATCAAAAATGTGGAAAATTTGATCTTAAATAGACTTGACGAAAAGTCCAAATCTATATTCTGAATTCTGAATTCTTATCGCTTCACTAAATCAATAGCTACGTTTAACAATGATATAGAAAAATGTATTAATGTTGGTAAAGAATAAGTCTAAAATTCTACGTCTCGCGTTTTATTGAGTCACAAAAACAGTATAATATCATGGTGACGGTATCAAATCTTCTTAAAATTAATCAATTAATTATTAGGAACATTCCCTATTAGTGTACTACAAATATAACAAAATAACTACTATTAAGATTAATATTGATTAATTCATTATTAGCTATTGGCCTATTGCGTATTAAATAGATCGTATGAGTAAAATTACATATATTATATAAGAATATTTCATAACCATAAACCCTTTGTTACATTTATTAAAACATTTTTGTATATTTAAAATAATTGTTGTTATTTTTAATTTATATAGGAAGTGATGACGGGGATATTATGGCAATCAATTTCTCAGCATCATTTGCGGCATGTCTGGCAGCAGGCCTCAAAGTTCCTCGGAATTTTATGTACTGCATTGCACAAGGTAAATTAAATGCTATTCACTTAAATTGGATTTTTTTAAATATCAATATTTTCGTTAAGTAAATTATAGTAATTTATAGTT